TACACACAAATAAAAGTATTCCCCATAGTTTCCCATATTTTCTGGGTTTCTGTCTTCCCCCCCACTTCCCATATTTTCCCATGTTTTCTGGGGAATCGAGGATTAATTGTGTCTGTGTGTTTCTTTTCCTCCTGAGAATAGCTCAAGTCGCCAAACGTATGGGTCCTCCCCTTCTTCCCGGCGGCCAAAAGCCCAAGTTCGCTCCCATCGCGACGACAAGGGAACGGACCTCGAGCACCAGCCCCCAACGCCGGCTCCCAGCGCACGCTCAGGTCGGGCATGTCCTCCTACAGGCGGATTTGGAGGAATTGCCCTGGCGACGTACCCAACCCCTGCGCAATGCGGGGCAGGAGTAACTTGGGAGATTTGACGAGAAGGCGGCGACGTGACATGGACGCATATACTTCTGCGAGCGGCATTCGGGAGGTTCGCTGGCCCCCAATCAAGGGAAACACGATGAGTAACTAGGTGGACCCCTGAGTCACTAAGGAAGACGCAAGATCCTAAAAGAGACGGTGGGCAAGGGGCTTGAAACGTCGGCGGGGCAGCAACAACATGACATGACTCCCCAAGTACGGCGAGGCCCCGCTAAGGTCTGCGCAATGCCTCACTCCGCTGGACCCACCAGCAGCCTTCGAAAGTGGCGAGCCCACCAGCAACCCTCGAAAGCGGCGACAGTTTCGCAGATCGCAGCCCGCAGATCGCAAGGCAAGAGAAGACAAGAAGGAGGGGGGGGCGAGAGGCGGGAGGCGGGAGGAGGACGCGACCGCAGTGCTCTATTCAAAACGAATGCCCAATCAAGGAGGGCTGGGAACAAATAATAAATTACCAACAGCCAACAACTAATCAAAACATATAAACAAATGAAAGACAAATCGTCTCCAGATTATTCTTTGACTATTTTTGAAAATTCCTCCTGTAGAAGGACATGCCCGACTCAAGCACAGGCTCCCGGCGCAGGCCAGGAGAGCCGAGAATCGAATCGATGAGTCAGATCGGCGATCGAAATGAATCGGATCGGCGGAAATCGGCAGCCGAGTCGGAAGAAAAGTCGAATGGACAGGAATCGGCAGGCTATAGTATGCCTCCAGTATAAGGCATCGGAGCCCAAATCGGAATCCTAAGTCAAATCGAATCGGAATCGGAAGCCATCAACATCGAATCGAATCGGAAACATCGAAACTTGAGCAGGGGCCGACCGTTCCGGCATTCCTATAGGCCTACCATGACATGTTCTGAGAACCCATGGATGCTCAATGTGTTAGAACATAACAATATCGGGCAGAACTGTTCTAAGAACAATTCGTGCAGACCACAAAAAGTTATTTGAACATTCTGTGGCCGGGGATCTTCTGACCCGGGTCAATCCAAACCCGGTCAGTCAGGCCTTGCAGAATCCTGCAAGATCCGGCATGACCCTGCACCCAAACCCCAAACCCGGGTCAACGCGAAAAATCCTGCAAGACCCTGCACCCAAACCCGGGTCAATCCGCCCGTGGCCTCTGCAGGATCCTGCGAGATCCGGAGCTCTGGCTGACCCCCGTCTGCATGGACCCCCGTCTCAAGACTCCCGATTTGGTGGGCCTGTATGCAACCCGGGACGCTTCGCCACTGCTTGAGAAACGAGCCCCGCAGGACCCCGGCGCAGAAGGCTCCCGGCTCCCAGCACCTACGAGAAGGCCAGGACCGCACAGGGCAGCGCGCTCGCGCGCGGGCGCGTTCCGCGCCTCCACCCCCCGGCGCGGCCTGGAGCTGGCGCGCCGTCCAGCCCGGTGCTCGAGGAGGGGCGAGGAGGGGCGAGGAGGAGGGAGGAGGGAGGAGGGAGGAGGGCGGAGGGAGGAGGAGGAGGAGGAGGAGGAGGAGGAGGAACGAGGAGCGAGGAGGAGGAGGAGGAGCAAGGAGGAGGAGGAGGAGGAGGAGGAGGAGGAGGAGGAGAGGGCGAGGAGGAGGAGGAGGAGAAGGAGGGGCGAGGAGGGGGAGAAGGAGGAGGAGGAGGAGGAGGAGGAGGAGGAGGGCGAGGAGGGGGAGGAGAAGGAGGAAGAGGAGGAGGAGGGGCAGGAGGAGGAGGAGGAGGAGGAGGAGGAGGAGCAGGAGGAGGAGGATGAGGAGGAGGAGCAGGAGCGAGGAGGAGCGAGGAGGAGGAGGAGGAGGAGGAGGAGGAGGAGGAGGAGCGAGGAGGAGGAGGAGGAGGAGGGGGAGGGGGGGGAGGGGGAGGGTGAGGGGGAGCTGGATGTGCTCAGCTCGGCGCCCCACCGCGCTGCAAGGGCGCTGTCCTCCTCGCCCCCCGTCCTCCGCATGTTCCTCGCCGTTCCCCGACGAAGGCGAAGCCCAAAAGAGGATCAATTCGGGTGAGGATACATCGAGAATCTCTGAGATCTGGTGGTCCTGGAGAATGTCTCGGGCGCCGCGGCCTTCTGAGAGCGTTCCGGAACGCTCTGAAACAGATTCATCCTCGTCCTGGCCCCACCCGATCGACGCCCTCAAGCGCGTCAGGGCGGGCGTGGTGGGGTTCCTGGTGTACGCCATGACCGGAAAGTCCATGAGGTCGTCCCCGAACGGGTCCTCGATAACGTACGAGATGCTCAGGAGTCCCTGGTAGATCAGGCAGACAACGAGCGCCATGATAATCTCCTGACACGAATCGAACCCTGAGATCGGGCCGTTGCATGTTCTTCACACCAGGCGTTTTCGCCCTGTTTCGACCCCCCCGACCCCCAGCCCCCTAAGACCATCACAAATCGATCCAGCTCGAAACATATACCAGAAACATAGGGTACAGGGTTCTGTTCGCGATGTTCGCCATGCTGCAGTTTGTTCGCAACATCGGGTCTCAGGGAAGGGAAGACGGAGGGCAAGAGAGAAGGGGGGGAGAGGGAGGATGGAGGTGGATGGGCGGTTAGGAGAGAAGGGAGAGGAGGAGGGAGAGGAGACGGGAGAAGGTACAGAAGGCATGGATGGAGGGAGAGAGGAGCGAAGGGTGAGGAGGGAGATGGATGGGTCTCGGGAGAGGAAGGAGGAAGAGGTGGATGCAGGGATGAAATAGGGCGACGGAGGAAGAGAGCGAGGAGGAGGCGGAAAGCAGAAGACGGTGGAGGATACCATGAGGCACTGGGGACGCTCTTGGGCCTCTTGCGGGAGGCCCTCACCGCCACGGCTGGACTCGCCTCGGTATCCCGTTGGCCGCGCGCGAGGAGGGGAGCTCGCCAGACATGCGGGGGGCGGGAGCCGAAGGGGGGAGGGATACCCACCGGCGCAGCCAACCCGCAAGGCAAGATCACATGCTGGCAAAGCTATACTGCAACAGAGGCCTCCTAGATGGGGTCGGAGTAGATGGGGTCGGAGGATCGCGCCGCATCGCCGACAAACATCGGCGCTACGTCGCCGATGCATCAGCGATGCATCGGCGACGCCAGTCTCGAGAACATCGGGCTCCGCACCGAGCCGCATCGTCGATGCATCGGCGATGCTGCGCGATCCTCCGACCCCATCTGCTCGAACCCATTCTGGGAGGCCCAGAATACTGTAAGGAGCCAGAGAAGGCGTACGCGCCCAACAATGAACATGAATACGACCCCCCCAGTCCGCGCGACCAGCCTGGTGATACGACGGTTCGCGCAATGTGTACTCTCGAAAGTAACGTGGATCCATGTACATGTGCGTCCTTCTTTCGCTCCTGATGCTGGAACAAATTGAGCTGAAAGCCCTCGGGGATCAGTAGAGTAACCGCGCGATCGACCGCCGATCCAGGTTTTCAAGGGCGCGTACTCCTTGCCGGGCGGAAGTTGTGATTGCGAGAGGGGAAATCCTGCGGACCATTGGGTGCCACAAGCACTCGGACGCAGGGAGCTGCCCGAGAAATGTGCGTGGATATGCTATGAGCCTGAAGCAGGCCAGTTCGGGATGCAGGGCTCCCTCTGGGATCCTCTCCGTCAAGCTTCAGCAAACTGTCTTCAAGCTCCCAAAGGTAGCATGTTAGGGGGGTCTGTGTGGGGGGGGGCGTTTCGGCGCCCCCCCTGTTTTGTCGTGAGGGGGGCCGGTCGAAAGGCTCTCAGGATCGCTTGAGCCGTCTCGGCGCGTCTTGTGGCTCTGTGGGGGGATCTCTGGCTCGCTGGAGCCGCCCCGGCGCTCTCGTGCACGGTCGGATCGTGAGGACGTGGGGCGCCCTCCGTGCCCTACCTGGGTGCAAGCGAGGCCGTCTTTGGAGATTTGTCGTGCGTCGTGGGGCGAAGGGCTCTCTGAAGCACCCCCACCGCCACCCGAAGGAGAAAGTCCCGAGAAACCCAAAATCAAACGACGAGTAAGAATGCTTGAAATCTTTGGTACGTGTGGACGTTTTTTTTTTGTTCGGGCCTCGGACAGCGCGTCTCGGGGCCGTCCTGGACCTACTTTGGCACCTCAGTGCCAGTCACCGACTCGCACTGAACTGCCCGCGCGCCAGCGCGGCCTGCGACGCACGCCACGAATCCCCCAACGGTCAACACAACGGCTGCCGCGTCCGCCGTGCCATGCTGGCTGACGGTTCTGCGCGCGAGCTTGTGCGCTAGCGCGGCCCCGGCGATGCGCCAGCCAGCGCCAAGGGGTCATCGGAATTGCCGCGGCGTGGGTTGTCCAAACCAAGATGCGGGCTGGTGGGTGGGATGCTTGCGCGACCAGTGAATTTGACAACTCAACTGTGGACACTGAATGTTTGGGACCACTTGCCACCCCAGGGGACGCCAGTATGACTCCCCCCCTCATCCTTTTTATCCACGCTAGAGAATTATACGTGCGCGGGCTCGCCCACACGCGACAAAAATCAATGCGCAAGAGCCATGCGCTAACAAATGGGACAAACTCCTCGCGCGCGCGGCGCCGCGCACGCTCATGCCGGACTTCGTGCTAAACAGAGGAAGAAACCGCTTTTTTCTCGACAACACATGTAAACATATCTCTACCCCACCGTTATTTCAAATAACAATATGCGCGCGCGTGCTTTTGACAACTATCACGCGAACCACGGGCGGATCATCATGTCTCTCATACATGGCACTGCGCGGTCCTTTCGCGCGCGCGTCGCATGCTGTGGGATGAGGATCCCAGTCGCACGGAATTGCGCGGGCCACGCATGCGCGTCGGCCGTTCACGCATGCCGAAATCCACCCAAAACCCCATCCACGACACACGGACATCATCATCGCCTTCGGCGTGACCAACATCGGCGCCGTCCATGGCCCTGCTGCCGCCATCGTCGTCATCGCGGCCACTTCCGCTACACTGTTAAAGCGCCCGCGCGCCAGCGCGGACTTTTACGCGCGTTGGGCATATCCTATCGGCAAGTGCCTTCGCGGCCGCATCGGTTGCGCCAAACCAGATGGCCGCGCCGCGCGCGAGTCCGCGCAAGCCAGCGCAGCCGCAGAGATGCACCAGCCGTGGCCAAACAGTCGTGGCAATCGCCGCCGCGGGGGTCGACGCCGTCGTCATCCCCATCATTGCCAGATGAGTTTCTGCAGCCAAGTTACGGGTGGGCGGTGGGATGTTTGCACGGACGTGGGATGTGGTCGTGCGCGGGGCAGGGTACTCAACCCTCCGTTCAAAAAATTAGCCTGACGAAAGACCCAACCATACGTAGTTGTGAATACCGCAATTGTGGATATATTCTTCGGTGGCGCCCCCGGGCCACGAAACGAGTGAGGGGTGTGCCGGAATGGGGGGGGTGGAACCGCATGCGGGCGCAGCCACTGGGGCGCTCGGTGGAGCTCCCTATGGAGCCACGAAACGTGTGAGGGGTGTGTCAGAATGGGGAGCTGGAACCGCATGCGGGCGCAACCAGTGGGGCCTTCGGTGGAGCTCCCTATGGGGCCACGAAACGTGTGAGGGGTGTGCCAGAATGGGGGGTGGAACCGCATGCGGGCGCAGCCACTGGGGCCTTCGGTGGAGCTCCCTATGGGGCCACGAAACGTGTGAGGGGTGTGCCAGAATGGGGGGTGGAACCGCATGCGGGCGCAGCCACTGGGGCCTTCGGTGGAGCTCCCTATGGGGCCACGAAACGTGTGAGGGGTGTGCCAGAATGGGGGGTGGAACCGCATGCGGGCGCAGCCACTGGGGCCTTCGGTGGAGCTCCCTATGGGGCCACGAAACGTGTGAGGGGTGTGCCAGAATGGGGGGTGGAACCGCATGCGGGCGCAGCCACTGGGGCCTTCGGTGGAGCTCCCTATGGGGCCACGAAACGTGTGAGGGGTGTGCCAGAATGGGGGGTGGAACCGCATGCGGGCGCAGCCACTGGGGCCTTCGGTGGAGCTCCCTATGGGGCCACGAAACGTGTGAGGGGTGTGCCAGAATGGGGGGTGGAACCGCATGCGGGCGCAGCCACTGGGGCCTTCGGTGGAGCTCCCTATGGGGCCACGAAACGTGTGAGGGGTGTGCCAGAATGGTGGGTGGAACCGCATGCGGGCGCAGCCACTGGGGCCTTCGGTGGAGCTCCCTATGGGGCCACGAAACGTGTGAGGGGTGTGCCAGAATGGGGGGTGGAACCGCATGCGGGCGCAGCCACTGGGGCCTTCGGTGGAGCTCCCTATGGGGCCACGAAACGTGTGAGGGGTGTGCCAGAATGGGGGGTGGAACCGCATGCGGGCGCAGCCACTGGGGCCTTCGGTGGAGCTCCCTATGGGGCCACGAAGCGTGTGAGGGGTGTGCCAGAAGGGAGGGGGAGGAGAGAGGAGGGGAGGAGGAGGAGAGGATGAGGAGAACGCGGGGCGACGTCTCTTCAAAACGAGGACCTCAAACCACAGGATGGTTGGGAAATAGACTGTACCTCCCCACGCCCCCAACCCAACCCCAGCCCACCTGGGATTATGGATTACGCATATTCACATTCACATATTCACAATGGGGCGGTACAGTTCACATATGATTGCGCCGTGCCGCCCATGTTACATACGAATTTGAAATGTCCCAGCGAATGCCCTTTGTCGCCCCCCTCCCCCATTCATCCCTATCAAATAATTGTGCGCCCCCTGCAATCGTTTGTCCATTACTCCGACGGTAGATTCCCGCATGGCCATATTGTGAGTTTGGCCGAAGGTTTCGGTCTGCTCCCTCCTCCTACGCTCTCCTGCCTCTTCCTTCGACCTATGTATCATCTCCCTGCCTCCTCCTCCCCCTCCTGCCTCTTCTTCCTCGTCCTCCTCCTACGCCTCGTCCTCTCCTCCGCCACCCTCTCTTCCACTTCCTCCTCTTTCTTCCACTCCATCGCGCCTGCTCCCTCCATGCGCCTCGCCTTCCGGCCAGGGCACGCCCGCGGCACGCATGCCAATTACCCTCGGCGCCCTCGCGGCCGCGGCCAACGTGATCGTTCTCTCCGGTGGCCAGATCGGGGAGCCGCTGGGGCAACCGCGCGTGCCAGCCGTTGGGACAAACCCGAGGGCCGCGGGGGCGCGGGGGCACGCCGCGGGGACCCCGCGGGCGTCAAGCTGGGCGCCACCGCGCTCAGGCGGGCTGCGGCGCGAAGCGCAGCTCTGACGCGAGCTCCGCCTCAGCCCTGGAGCTCGCAGTCCTCCTGCCCCAGAAGGGGAGGAAGGAGGAGGAGGACCCCATAGGGAGGGGCTGCCGCTCGTGACCTCCCCACGATCCTCTCGCAGACGAGGGCCCCACCCAAGCTTTCCCCCATACTCAAGCGTGAGGAAGCCAGCAGACAGACCGTTACAGGATTGTGCCACCCAGTCGAGGCACGCAGTGGAGTTCCCCCCAGGCACGCTTGGGTTCCCTGTGCAATGTACTCTGGACTCCGGGCTGATCGTGTTCCAGGGGCTGGGGCCCCAACATCTCAAGTTTTCTGAGCGCTCCCGCGCGCTCCTGGGCTGCCTCGCGTGACTTGTCCAGAGGCCAGCGGGCTCCAAGATGGGCCAAGAGAGCCCCAGAAAGCGCCAAAGAGGATCCAAGAGGCCTCCGAGACAGCCCAAGAGCGCTCCTGGATGCGCCAACATGGTCCAAAGAAGCCCTCAGAACGCTTCAAGAGGACACCAAAGAGGGCCCCAAGAGGTATACGTCATTGATGTTCCTTGTGTTTCAATGTTGTTCGCGTTCTCTCGTGTTCGGGCTTCCGACGCTCCAAGATGGCCCAAGAGGCCCCCAAGATCGCCCCAAGACGGCCCAAGAAGCCCCCAATAGGGCCCCATGACCGTCCAAGAGGGCCCCAAAACGGCCTAAGAGGCGACGGACCCAAGAGAGGCCCATGAGATGGTACATGAAACGACAGTTCGAGCCTTCTGCCCCAAGAGGCCCCGAGGAGGCCCCAAGAGGCTCCCAAGAGGCCCCCCGGCCCACGAGGCCCCCGAGAGGCCGAACCGAGAACCCCCCCAAAGAGGCATCAATACTCCTGCACAGGCTCCCTAGAGTCCTCCAACGATATGCAAACGAACATCCAAGAAGCCTGACACCCACAACCCTGGCACGGTGGCGGGATAGGCCGAAGGCAACGATGCATATCCGCCGATCCGGCGTCTGAGTTTAAGAAAGCTGCAACCTGAGCTTCAGCTCTGCTGGGGGGGGCCGGGGTGGTGGCTCTGCCGGGGTATGGGGAGGGGGGGGTTCATGGGGTCCACCCTTTCTTCCCCCACCCCCCTGGAATCCCAAATCGCCCAAGACGGGCCACAAGGGGCCCAGGAGGCCACCAAGACGGTGCAGGAGGCGCCCGGAACGGCCCAAGAGCGCTCCTGGACGCCCAAGATGGCCTGAAGACGGCCCAGGAGGCCTCCAAGACGCCTCAAGGAGATCCCAAGAGGACCCCCAAGATGGCCCAAAGAGGGTACAATAATGAAATTGCCAATATGTCTAGAACCATTTTAACATTATCGACTTTTCCGTCTTAGAAGCGCCGATGACGGTCCAAGAGGCCACCAAGATCGCCGCAAGACAGCCCAAGAGGCCCCCGGTCCAAGAGGGCCCCAATATAGCCCTGGAGGCCCCCCAAGACGACCCCGAGAGGCCCCTAAGATGGCCTCAAGAGGGTGAATCCGAACGGACCCTTCTAGTCCTCCACCCCAAGATGACCCCAAGGCGCCCCCAAGGGGCCCCCAGAGGCCCCCAAGAGGTCCCCGAGAGGCCCCCAAGGGGACCCCGAGAGGCCCCAAAGAGGCCCCAGAGGCCTCCAAGAACCCCCAAGAACCAAGAGGCCCCAAGAGGCGCTCACTCGCGTGCTGCCAGGCCAGAAGTGCACGGCCTGACTTGGGATTGCTCGGAAGCGAAAGCGATGAACGAAGAACCTTCCACCCGTCGCCGTCACAAGTCGTCGGTCGTCGGCCGTCGGCAGCCGTTCGCCGTCAGTCGTCGTCCTCGACGTGGTCGTCGTCGTCGTCGCCGTCGCCGTCGCCGTCGTCGTCGTCGTCGTCGTCGTCGTCGTCGTCGTCGTCGTCGTCGTCGGTTCGTCGTCATTAACTCCACCGTCAATCATCATCGAAAGTATCCCGCTCGTCGACCGTTGGTCGTCCGTTGTCGTCGTCATCGTTCATTTCAACAACAATAGCATCAGGAGCGCCCCGGATCGGCGGCACTGGCCGGAGGCCACTACTATATATATATATATAGATACTAGAACCATCGCGCGCGCTTCGCGCGCGCTCAAGTTCTAGCCAGGATCCTCACCATCGTCATCATCGCAATCATTACCATCGTAGTCATCGTCATGGTCGTGTTCACCATTACCATCACCAGCACAACCATCATCATCACCACCATCATCGTCAGCATCGTCAGCACCATCTTCATCATCGTCGTCGTCATCGTTGTCCTCACTATCATCGTCGTCGTCATCATCATCAGCATCATCATCGTCAGCATCAGCATCAGCATCAGCATCATCATCATCATCATCATCATCATCATCATCATCATCATCTTCGTCGGCGCCGTCGTTGTGCTCGTCATCCTCATCATCAGCGTCGTCGCCGTCATCATCATCGGTCTACTCCAGTCCCCTCCCCCTCCTCCTCATTTCCGTTCTATCTCTCCCCATCATCCTATCCTCTTGCTCCTCCTCCTCCTCTTTCTCCTCCTCGATGCCGTCTCCCTGAAGTGGATCCCTGTTCATTCACCTCCTCCTCCTCCTCCCTGTCCTCCCCGCTCTCTTCAATCTGTCCCTCCTTGTGTTCCTTCACCTCCTTCACCTCCTTCCTCCCCCCAGAACTCCACGAACGGTGCCAGGGACAGAAAAGCACGGCGTCCCTCCGCCTATCGCACACCTTTCACACGGCTCTGTTGGGAGAATTCGCCCAGCGTCTCCCCGCGTATTTCGACTCGCTCCGCACACAGCTTGTGCCCCGAAGGAAGCTGTTCCGACGGCCCCGGAAACAAGGGTCGCATCCTGCCGCTCCGCCCATGTCGGCACACCCCTGACATGGATCGTGAAGTAGGGGCGTCTTGGAGGCCTCTCAGGACGTGATTCCCAATGGTCTCTTGAAGTCTCTGCAAGGCCTCTTGGGGGCCTCTCGGCGTCTCTTGGGTGCCGCGGGAGCTGCTGGGGGCTTCTTGGGAGCGTCCTTTGGGGGACCGTCTTGGGGCTCCCTGCGCCGGCGACGCAGGGAATGAAACTTGGTGGCCTCTTAAGCGGTCCCGGGGCGCTCTTGGGCCGTCTTGGGGCCGTCTTGGTGGCCTCTTGGGCCGTCTTGGGGCGATCTTGGGTGCCTCTTGGCCGTCTTGGAGCGCCAGGGAGCCCAAAAGGAGAGAAAGCCAAAAACATCGAAAAACACAATGGAAAATCAACGATTCGAGCCTCTTGGGGCCCTCTTGGAGAGCCTCTTGGAGGCCTCTTGGGGCGTCTTGGAGGCCCCTTGGGCCGTCTTGGGACCATCTTGGGCGTCTTGGAGCGATCTGGGACCGCCTCGGGGCCCTCTTGGACCATCCTGGGGGCCTCCTGGGGCCGTCTTGGAGGCCTCTTGGGTCGTCTGGAAGCTCCTTGGAGGCTCCTTGGAGGCCCCGGGGAGGGGGTATTAAAAAGCGTTCCCCGATGGTTGCGGAGTGGGCGGCCCCGCCGGGGGGGGGGGGCCTATTTGTTTATATTATATATGTATATATATGTGTATGTGCAGACGTGTATATGTGTCTGTGTATGTACATGTCGCTCCGCATATCCATGTATGTATACGGATGCATTCGACATACAGACGTACATACATCTACAAACATGCAGGTGCCCAACACAAGAGGGATGGCCAATCAGAGAACAACACACATGTCCGCCGTCGCAATTTCGCAGAGCGTTGAGATCTGGGTGATCGCTCCCTCAACAGTGACATGTCCAGGGGCACATGTTGGTCGGCCATCCTTAAACAATTCAGCCGTGGCGACTAAGGCCTCCAAATGATGCTTAACCTTCAACACAGACAAGATTATCATGGTCCCCCACCATCTTCCCTCCTATTCCTCCTCCGCAGGTCCATGAGGCACTTCTGCACGTCTTTATCCCAATACTGGCTGATGGCCAGCCCCGCGTTGAGAGCTACGACCACGTTCTGCACGTGCACCAGCCTCGGCTTTGGACATCGGCTGTGGGGGTGGTCCAAAACCCGGCGAGAAACTATGTGACACTTGGCTTGGCAATACACAACAATGAATCGAACATATGCTGCGATAAGAGGCTGAACCTACTGCCTGGATGTCGTGTGCAGGCAGCAACGATGCTCGTGCGTCGGTGAGTCCAGAGACGCGTGGAGGAGGGGTGTAATGATACCTAGAGTTAAGTCGGGTCTGTCCCCCATACAAGGGGATTTCCGACGGAAAAAAAAAACCGGAACAAAAAAACAAAAGGCCAAAACATACCCCCAAAATAATCCCCAAGCTATGTTTGGGCTATGGTTTGACTATTGTCGGGGTATATTTTATGTTTCGTCGAAAATCCCCCTGTAGGGGGACAGGCCCGAATTAAACCTAGAGTCCTGCTGCTTCTTCGACCTTGGCATGCCCTGGGAGAGCGGGGACACTCGGGACACTGCGCACTGAGCCTGCTCGTCCCAAAGGAACTGTCCCTCGAGGGGCTGGGCGTTGGCGCCACAGCGCCACGGCATCCTCTGGGAGAACGGGGAGAAGGCGGGGGAACCAAAAGGCACCGCTACCGTTGAGTCGGGCGTGTCCCCCTACATGGGGATTTTCCACGAGAAATGAAAATACCACAAAAATAATCAAAAATAGTCCACACATAGTCCGGGAACTATTGTTTGAGTATGCTTTGACCTTTCTGGAACATGTTTGGGGTATTGTGTAGATTTCATCGAAAATCCCCCTGTAGGGGGACACGACCGACATAACGCTACGGCAGGTTCGTGTCGTGTCGACCCCGGCGTTGGTTCCTGACACCGCGGGGATCGTTCAACCTTGAACGATCGGCCGTCTCCGCAACGTCCGATCGTTCAACATCGATCGATTCTGGGTCGCCGGCGGCGTTCAAGGTTGAACGCCGCTGGCGGGGTCGCCGCCGGTCGACACGACACGAACCTACCGTATATTTCATCGACAATCCCCCTGTAGGGGGACACGACCGACATAACGCTACCGCTGCTCCCTGGACCTCCTCCCAGGGTGCGTCTCGACCTGATTTTTGTTCAGGGCGAGCCCAGCCGTGGCGACGAGGGCCTGTCCCGGGAGCCCCCAACAGCGGGAAGGGCAGCGGCCTCGGCGGAAAATGGAACGCGTTGCTCCTCTGGGAGGGGGAATAAGATCGAATATCACGGGAAAAAATACTAGAGCTCTAACGAACGTTTGAATTTCGAGAACGAAATTTTCAACCGACCAAAAGTCGCCAAACGGTCCGTCGAGATTTTCCTTGCCAACTAGGTTGGGGCAGGCGGCGGCGGTCTCATCAGGAGCCGTCAGGTCAGTTCCTGAACGCGCAGGTAGAAGAGTTGCACAAGCTCGAGTGCGCAGAATGCGTGGTCTTACCCTCGGCCTCAGCACGCAGCACGGACACATCCCTGCGGCCAAAAGTGCCCGAACAGGACAGACATGTGGGGCTGCTGACGCAGCCCACAAAGTGGAGAACGCTTCGGGAGAAGGGGACGGAGGTGCAAGGTTTCCCCCGGGGCCGTAGGCGACCCGAGGAAAAGGAGGAGGAGGAGGAAGGGGAGGAGGAGGACGAGATGGAGGAGGAGGAGGAGGAGGAGGAGGAGGAGGAGGAGGAGGAGGAGGACTGGTTGTCCAAGCCCTTCGGATGGAGCAGAGTCTTGTGGGTCTGAGGGCGACGCCGCCACCACCGGACCCGCCCTTGGCTCAAGATCGGTTGGGATGCCCTCCTGGCCTGGCCGCGAGGGCGTACACGCAGATCCCGGACCGACGACAGGACCGGCCACCATTGATGTTGGCGGATGGTCGGTGTCCCCGGACGCGTGGGGCGCCCAGGGCGGGCTCAGCCTTCCAAGTGATCCTCGCAATCGAAAACTGGCCAGGGCGCGATAACACATCGAATCCATCGATCCGTGCGTCGCACGCCATCCGCGAATGGGGTGACGGTCTGGACATCGGCACGCACGACATACGCGATCGAATCGTGGAGCGCAAGGGAGGGAAGGGGGAAAGGAGAGAGAGAGAGAGAGAGAGAGAGAGAAAGAGACAGGAAGGATGAGAGAAGAGCGGGCATGGAACAGGCAGGAGGGGAGAAGGACGGAGGTGGATGAACAGAAGCTGCACTATAGCAGACGACCAGATATGGACCACAGCCCGAGGGGTGGATGCATTTCTCTCTGAAGAATGCAGTGGCCCCACCTTCTTCATTACATTCTTGAACCAATGCGTCAAACCACCCTGCCATCGAACAACATATGACAACCCTCCTTCATCTCGCCCTCACCCTCGACTCCCCCTCATCTCACCCTCCCGCTACCTCTCCACATGACCCCTCTCCCCTTCCCTCCCCCCCGTCCCTCTCCGTTGCTGCATCCCCTCCCATTTCTGCTCCCCCCTCCTCCTTCTCCTCGGCGGCAACCACGTCAGCAGGTGGACGTACGCAAAGGGCAGCTGGGTACACAAGTACATGTCGATCAGCTGTATGGACTGCGTAGCCATGATGCACCTTCCGCCGACGCGGCAGTAGAGCGTGAACTGATAAAAAAGAAAGGAAAGGCCACTGGGATTGACAAACGATGAAATTCCTACCTGTTGCGTGTGCAATGTGTCGGTGAAAACCTGCAGGGGGTCCCACCTTAATGATCTGCCCGTGGTGGGAAGCTGCCCTTCCGCAACAGGATCAAACGGCATTGCAGCTGTGCAAAAGCCTTCCCATGACCCGACGGTCCGACGAAGTGGGTTGAAGCATGAAGTAGAGGGCGTTGAAGTAGCTTGGAATTCCGCCCGCCCCCTGAAGAGGAAGGACAAGGAAGCAGCACTCGACGATTGAAGGAGGAAGACGCGGGACACGGATCAGGATCTGGGACTCCGTGACTATGCGCTCTCCACGCCCGACGGGTGGGGGCTTCGCCAGAGGCCATGCCCCCGGCGGAGGGCCAGCTGGACACCGGGCACGCCCGAGTGCGCCGAGGAGAGGAGAACGAACGGCTCGACGAGCCCCAAAGGGGGGGGGGGGGGCGCTCACGACGAGGAGACCCGAGCCGGGAGGTCGAGGGAGCCGCGGAGGTGGCCGATCAGCACAGGCGGACGCCCCGCGAGGCAGCAGCCGCCCCGCCGCGAGAGCGCCGCGAGAGCGCCGCGAGAGCGCCGCGATGGCGCGCGGGCCAGTGCAGGCGGCAGCCAGGGCCAGCGGGCCAAGGCCCTCCCGGGGCGCGCGGGCCGAAGAAGGTCGGACGAGAGGAGGAGGGGAAGCTCGGAAATGGCGACCTGCCAGACCACCCCAACCCGATCCAGAGGCCCAAGCTTCGGGATGGGGGGGGGTGCGGGCTCCACATGTGGTTTTACGATGTTCCCAGATGCCCTTCCCCACTGGAACTTCGAGGATAAAGTTAGGCCTCCGGGTTGGGTTGGGGTGGAGTGGTGGGTCGTGGGGAAATGCGGGGAGGGGACGCGGACCGGAGGGAAGCGGGTGGAGGGAAGGGTAGGGCAAGCAGGGGAGGGGATGTGCGGAGGAATAGGGGAATGCGGGCAGACGTCGATCGAACACATGTTCCATAGGACGTCGGAATGTCCATCAGACTCGTCCGCCTCATCCGTGCAAACCACGGAGCACCACGCGTGGATGCGCAGCCGGCTTTGTGGCTTCGAGGCATGACGCAAAGCCATTCGACCGTGTGGTAGGAACCACCCAACAAATACGGATATTTCAATGAGCGTGCACGGGGGGGTATCCTCTGTCATTACAGGGTCGTCCGAATCTGTCAGGTCCACGGCTCAGTCGCGCACCCTGGTCGCATGCAGCATCCGAACAATCATATTGCATGAGCCTCAGCGAGACGTGTGGGTTGCCAGCCTTGATGCGGGTGTTCGCTGGGGGATGCAAGCTCTGAGGCGCGGCGGTATGATTTCATTGGTGTCCATCGAGGATGCACATGCGAGTGTTTCGCTAGTGCACGTGACCGACGTCTCGATAGCTAAGTCGTAGGCAACGCGTCGGGACATTCCAAACATACATCCCCGCCCAATACAGGACGGGCTGGATCTCCTCTCTACCGCGCGGGCGCAGAGGGGGTCGAGTGTAAGACCTTCGGTGGCAAGCGAGGGGGGGAAATGAGAAGGAGACGACCTTCTCAGAAGGTTCGCAAGTCCCCCAGACTTCTGAGAAGATTTCTAAGCCTTCCTCGAAGACAAACAACTTCTCAGAAGGCGCGAGGACTGCTGAGAAGTCCCGCCGCCGCCTGAGAAGGCCTTCTCCTTCTCATTTCCATCCCTCGCTCGCCGCCGAAACCTTTCCCAGTTCAGACCAGTCGTCGGAATGGCGCTGCTCCTGCACTAAATATTCTTACTGCGGCGCTGTTGAACTAGCACGGTGGCTGGGTTTGTCGCAGACAGCCAGATACTCAAAAACACGAAGCTCGCCCGAACGACTGGTCTCGGGGGGGAACTCGACCCGAAATCAGCGAGACGTCGCAGATGGATCGGCGTTGCCCCCACCCTCGTTGTTGTTGGTGGGGGTGCTGATGTTGGTGTTGGTGGTGTTGGTGTTGGTGTTGGTGTTGTTGTTGTTGTTGGTGTTGTTGTTGGTGTTGTGTTTGGTGTTGTGTTTAGTGTTGTTGGTGTTGGTGTTGCTGTTGTTACTGCTGCTATTGTGAGTGCTGTTGTTTGTGTTACTGGTGTTGTTGGTGGTGTGCTAGTTGGTGTTGTTGTTGGTGTTTGTAGCTTGTGTTGCTGTTGCTGTCGCTGTTGCTGTTGCTGGTGAAGTTGCCGTTGTTGGTGTTGCACTTGTGTGGGTTTCTGCTGATGGTGCTGGTGCTTCACTCCGACTGGCCGCAGGCCCCTCGCCAGGAAACAGCACGCTCCCGGCCGGCATGCGGCACCCCAGCGCCCCCATAGGAGGAGGAGGAGGAGAAGGAGGAGGAGGAGAAGGAGAAGGGGGAGGAGGAGGAGGAGGAGGAGGAGGAGGAGGAGGAGGAGGAGGAAGGGAGGAGGAGGTGGAGGAGGTGGAGGAGGAGGAGGAGGAAGAAGCCGCTCCTCCCCTCCCGCCGTTCTCCCCGACCTGCGCCTCCTCCGGGGCTCGATCTGAGCAGCGCGTGTCGCTTCCGTCCTCGGCGCCGTCCTTCCTCGCGCGCCATCTCGACTTCGCCCTTGAGCTGCAGAGCTGCACCGAGACGAAGACGGCCCACGACGTCGCCAAGACACCGTTGGGAGCCGTCCGGGGCCTCCTCCTCCCCCCCCCCTTCCGGGGAAGCCAAAAGACATCGATACCGCGGCTTCCCAGCCCTCTCCCGGGGTACAGTCGGGGCGCTGAAGAAGGAACCCTTTTCATTGGGGAGGGGCTCCGTGTTCCTTGATTGTTCTGCAGCTTGCCTTGTGTTTCTCATAGGTCTTCGATGTGACATCGAAGTGTAACTTATGGGAGATAGGGGCCTCGTTCCTTATTTAGGGTTCCTTAGGTCAACGCCCCGACTGTACTTTATGACCCAGATCAAACGATCGACGATCTAAAACGGATACATATATATATATATATGTATATATAAATATATATATATATATAAATAAATATATATATAAAAAGATATATGCGAGATGGCGCGGCGACCTCACGCGGGGGCGCCACGCGGGCCGCCGGCGCAGCGCGCCACACTGGAGACGAGGGCGCTCCCGCGTGACCTCACGCGGGAAGCGTGGGCGCCAGCGTCGGCGCAGCCGACGCCGTTGCTCTGCGTCGCTCAGGTGGCGAACTCGACCGTGGCGACGAGGCCCTCCCAGGAGGCCCATAAAAAAACGGAAAGGCAGGAGAGGGTGGAGGACCCAGCACCTCTTCCTCCTCGGATCCTCTCCCCCCCTTCCGCAGCCGCCCCTCGGCGCAGGGGGGGGGCGGCCGCGGGCCTCTGCTGGACGATGTTGAAGTTCGGCGGCGGAAGGCCCTCGGAAATGGGGCGGGGGGGCTGGGGGCGTGCGACGGGGGACGGGGAGGAAGGGGGGCGCAGCAGGAGGGGAAGGATGGATCATGCTCGTCTTTTGATGCTCCTTTCTCTGGGCGGCCCGCGCAGACGTGCGATGCATCCAACATGGCCACTGGGCTGCCGGCGTACCTGCGCAACAGAGCCTGTGAGGTGTCGCACGCGGGCGCGCGCCGTGGAAGCGGGCGGGGGCGCGCCCGACGAGCGGCAGCACAGCGACGAGCCGACGCCGCAGAGCGGATGGCAGGCGAGCAGGCCGACGCCCGCGGAGGGCCCGTGACCGGAGGCCGTGCCGCGTGGAGGCCGCAGCGAAGCAGCGCACCCACTGGAGCGCAGGAGACGAGAGGGTGGGCTCCGCGGGCGGTGCGGCGACGGCGGCAGGGAGCTCTGCCTCCTCCTCGTGCTCCTCCTCCTCCTCGTCGTCCTCCTCGCCCTCCTCGCCCTCCTCGACCTCCGCCTCCTCCTCCTCCTCCTCCTCCTCCTCCTTCGTCTCCTCCTCTTCCTCCTCCTCCTCCTCCTCCTCCTCCTCCTCCTCGCTCTCTTCATCCGCGCCTACCGCCTCCTCGTCCTCGGGCGCAGAGTCCACATCGCGAGCAGAGCGCGGGCGGCCGCAGACACCGAAAACACGAGCACGTACTGGAGGTGGGCGTCAGGACCGGCTGCCGCAGCAGAACGGTGGCGATCGCGGCGCGGCCCCAGTGGGAATGCGCGCCGCCTTGCCCTGACATCCTCCCATCCGACCTTTCCAGTCCGCGACCCCAGGGGTCCCCCGACTTCCTCCCCGGGGGGGGCAGCTCTTGCGCCCGTGGTCAATGTTTGGTGGTACACCCTGCGAAATGCTTAAGAAATCATGGGTTAAGAAACTCAGAGTCTCAGGATTTGAATAAAAACCCAGAACTTCGATCAAAATCTTGGGATTTACATTGAAACATCAAGAATAATCGAGACTCTCGCCGAAAACTTACGTTTTCTTAAGCATCGCCCAGGGTGTACGGGGAGTCCCGGGGCCCAAGAACGCGCCTGGGAGGCCGAGAACTCGAGGCACTACCGAACTCGAAGAGCGCCGCCTGGATTGGCGCAAATGCAAAGCGTCGGAGGTCCGGGCGTACCCAACCAAAGCTCCAGGGCAGGGTATGCCTGAGCGGGGCCGGCCAGGGCCGTCGGCGGCCGTCGCAGGAGAGCCAGGCACCATAGGAACAAGGAAAGGCGACACCAACACCAGCAGGGCGAGGAGGTGCGAGGAGGCAAGCGGGGTTCTCCCTGGTGGTGTGGTCCCCCCCTCTCGCCCGAGACATCCCCAGCCTCCAGCCTGGGAAGGCAGCGTGGACCTCCTCGCTGGAGGTGGGTCCCCTGGTGGTGTTGGTATCGCTTCTCCTCCCTCCGACACCAGAGAGGCGAGGCCCTGCTGCGACCCCCCGGGGGGCTCGCGCAAGGGCGCGGATCCAGGGGCCAGGGCCTCGCCGAGGGAGCGCCTCGCAGGAGGCGCCGAGCGACGAGCGGCGCAGCGCCCGGGAGGCCGCGGGTCTGCCTGCGGGGGGCAGACCCGGGGGGAGCAGCTGGCTTCCCTCGCGCCCGCCCGCCTTGCTGGCCCCCATAACCCTGGTCGGGGGCGGATAAAACATGGATAAGCGATCCCGCCTCCCCGCCGCCCTTGCCCCCCCCCCTGCCCCACCCGACCCCCCTCTTCCCTCCTCCCGTCTCTTCCTGTTCCTCCTTCGCCTCCTACTAGCCTCCACCTTCTCCCTCGCCGCCTCAAGTATCCTCCTTCGCCTCCTGGTCGCGAGTCTCCTCCTCCTCCTCCTCCTCCTCCTCCTCCTCCTCCTCCTCCTCCTCCTCCTCCTCCTCCCCCTCCTTCGCCTCGTCCTGCTTCGGGTCCCCCTGCTCTCGCCCCGTGCCGCTCCTCCTCACCCCCGCCGGTCCCTCCCCCTCCCCCTTCCTCGTTTCCTCCCCCCTCGTCATGACACTCAGCCCCTCTCCCTCCCTTCCCCGTCCTCCCTTTCACTCCTCGTGCCCCCTTTCCTCCCCTCGGCCTCCCTCCTCCCTGCTGTCCTTCTCCTCCCACCTCCCTCCTCCTGCTCCTGCTCCTCCTCCTGATCCCTCCTCCTCCTCCTCCCACTTCCCCTCTATTGATTATTATTACCTCCACCTCGTCCTTATCCTCGTCCTCGTCCTCTCCTCCTTCGGCCTCCCCAGTCCCCGCAAAGGTAAATTCCAATCGGGGCCTCGAACCCCATCCTGCACGTCCGGGCGATCCAAGACCACACCGCGATCGCCCGCTGCTTCGGCGTCAGCGTCGTGAGGAGCTCCACCTCTTCCTGGGCCGACGAGAAGCACGGCGTCGTCGTCGTCGTCGTGGTCGTCGTCTTAAGGATCTCCACCCCTTCGGCGTCGGCGTCGTCGTGGTCGTCGTCGTCCTCCTCCTGTCGTCATCAGACCAGCGTCGCCCCTCGCCTCCTGCCCTCCCTCCGTCTCAATGGTCATTCTCAGATACTCATCTCCGCATCCCTTGCCCTTCCTCCTCCTCAACGGCATCATCCACATCGGTATCGTCAACATCGTCGTTGTCTTTGTCGCAGCCGCCGCACTCATCAATGTTGTAGGTGTCGCAATTGCCATGATAATCCGCATCATCATCGTAGGGCGTCCATCACCACCACCTGCATCACCATCATCACACCACCATCACCATTGATGTAACCATTACCATTCCCACCTTCAGCATCGTCACTCCCCAGTCCCATAATCACACCCTCCTCTTTCCCCTGCTCTGTTTTCTAGCTGGTCCTAACAAGCCCGCTACTTTGTCGGGCATACGATCTCGTTGCTTCGCGAATGCTACATGAATGCGTTCCCAAGCCAGCCCCTACGATAATATCATGACAACTCGCCCAACAACTCGTCTGCATATGGGCTGGTGAAGGCTGAAGAATCCAGAACTCCTCTGCAAATGCCAGATGATATCTCGAGCATATTTTCGAACGCACATTATGATGGGGTAGTGGCAGAGATGGGGCTTGAGGAAACTCGCCACGGTCCTGACGAAGGACATATTAACCTCGAGCTGGGTCCGTTCCGTAACCTCACCGCGAGCTAAACTTCCCCCTGCGCCCCCTCGGTGCATAGGCAAAGCGAGCCGCCGACCTGGACGATCCAGAGGAGGGCGGAAGGTGGCCAGTCGAGTCGGGTCGCGGACAGCTCCTCGGGCTGAGGGTGGGAGAGATCTACGCGACCCTCACTGGGGCCACAGAGACGGAACCATCTCGGACCCCTGTTCAGGAAAGCCCCGAAGTTGGCATCAGCTCTGGGGGCCCCAGGGTCGGGGATCTTCTGACCCGGGTCAATCCAGACCCGGGTCAGCAGGAAACCAAAAACTGCAATGCAAGAAAAAGAAACTGCACCGGAGGTCTTCGCAAACCCAGGTCAGCCAATACGCGCGGCCGCCTCGCGGCCACGAGCGGCTCGCTAACCCGGGTCAGCCAGAGGGGGTCTTCGCAGGATCCTGCAGGGTCTGGCGCCCTGGCTGACCCCCGTCTGCATGGACCCCCGTCTCGAGGCTCCCGACAGGGGGGCCCCTCGAAGAGCCTCGGGGGGGTCGCAACGACCCGCGGCGCCCCCGTGCCCTCCCTCCGCCTCCTCGCCCTCGCGCGCGCGCCCCTGCTGCTTGCCGGGGAGCCTGCGGATCCGCCAGGCATGGCGCTCCCAATGTGCCAGCCGATGCGATACAGTCATCGGCCTGACCTAAGGAACGATAAAGCAGGAACGAAGCCCCTTGTTGTTCCAAGTGAGTCTACGAAGTCCGAAGGAACACCACGGGGGCTCGCCGCCAAACAGGTAGCAGAACGCATGCAAACCAAAGGAACGACCGAGCCCCCTTTGAAAAGGAAATGTTCCTCATTCAAGCCGCTCACTGTAGTCCGCACGTTGGGCAGTCCGGTGTACGCATTCCCAAAGAAGGAGGAAACATTGCAGAGCAGCGACCGACAATAAAAATGCGTCAGCCTTGGATGGCGGGTATTTGACACAGCTGCAACGAATCATTGAGCCCTTGGTTCCGATCACAGAACGGTTAGAGCAATTCTTGTCACAAACGGGCGTTGTGGACGAAATGGCCGGACCAGGGAAAGGGAATCATCAAAACAAGGGAATCATCAAAATAAATTAAAACCAACGCACATATTCAATCACTAGCTACTGGCGGGGACGCTGCCCAGGAACGCTCTGTGAATGTGGACCTGATCGAAAAAAATACAGTGACACCTGTTGCATGCTGCGAAGCTGCCTCCGGCTCCAGATCGCAATGCGTTGTTGGCTGAACACCGACACGAACGACACTTGTGTAGACACACAGCGAGACGCAACCAACTCTCCGAGAATATCCAGAAACAAAGGATCGCAAATCATCACGGCAATTCCAGACGGACCGAACGAAAGAAATCCTCCAGAGTTCCATCGGCAATTCGGAGCTCAGCTCGATACGCCGATGCCAACTTGAACGGCAGGCTACAACGAACAAACCAACGGAAACAACGGCAAACTTCAAGGAGGATGTGTATCATAGCGATGCGAAATTCCCCTAGATCCTCTAAAAAATGAGTTGGCATGATCCCTGGAATCAACCTCAGAGAACTTCAAAGTGCTGCCCAAAAATGGCAAGAGGAAGGCGCAATGATAAGACTGGAATTCAGATAGAGACGATTGCTGGCGCAAGCCCAAATATGACGCAACACTTGACCGACATCTTCACATATAGAATACGAAAGAACTGTATACCGGACAACTGACGTGTCACGTTCTTTACGCTGCTTCCGAGACCGAGCGGTTTGACAGATCCGGCAGAGGGCGTCCGATTGCGATTGTCCGCGTCTCGCACAAACTGTTTGCAACAGGTCATGCGTGGTCGCAGGTCGGCGAGCAAATTAAACTCATGCCAAGCAGGGACACTTGGCCGCTGTTTTCCGAAGCTGAGTAGGTACATGGTGCGTGTTCGGCCATACTGTACCTGGCGCTCCTCACAAAGAAATATCAACGGCGGGCAGAAAAGACAAGCTGAAGAACCAACGCCTTCTTGATAGCCTGCGGGGTGTTCGACACAAAAAAGCTTGCTTAAGCCCGTTGAACTGCAACGCTGCGCTCGAGCTAGTCGTGAGCAAGCTGTCGAATCGTTCGAATGCACACGGCATCAAGAGAGTTCCCAGTTGTGCTTGGCGCCACTTGACTCACGTCAGGTTCGTTGATGCTCTCATCATCCTCGTCACTAGCCTGAATGGGCTGAGCTGATGATAGACGTCTTCGCCGAAAAACTTCACCTGGTCGGCTTAGCGCTGTTTGCGGAAAGAAGCAGCATGATCACTTTGGATGACGGTTTCGTTCAACATGGCCCTCCAACGACTGTGGATGCATCAAGACGTCTCGTTTATGTCGCGAGCGGTAGAGAGAGCCCACGTGTATCTCGACAAATATCTGGACAATCCGAAGAACATGTTTGCGAACTGGTGGCGCTGCGCATGGGCGGTTGCCGGCACGTACGTGGATCTGCTTCTCAGATTCCGCCTCCTTGACAGCATCACCACGCCCACTGCGCTGTATGGCCTCGCGACAGCCCTCCTGACTTCTGCAGACTTCGAGAACCTCGCTTCCACGCAGCGGCACATGTGAAAATGCACGGCTGGCTTGATCAAGCATGACATTGATGAATGGTCCAGCGTGTACAGTCGCGTCCGAGACAACATCCAACAAACCATGCAGCCCATCCGATTATGGGCAGCAGCAAGTGAATTGTTCAAAGGAAGGTAAAGGCTAACCTCAAGGCTGCATTGCCTTCGCCGGAACGCGATGGTGCATGCAGTGGCCAGGTGGAGCCCCAGCGACGTCGCTGTTCGAAACTACCTCCAAAACCGAACCGCTCCTGATGCAGGCCATGCAGAACTTACGACCTATTTCAAATGGTGTTTTTGTGCTCCAGCCGAGTCCAGTATCGGACCAGGCCTGGTGCTTCGAAGGCGGTGCAGCCGCTGGAGGTCCGACGCGGACTGCTCCACATTGAGCGCTCAGGCACTCCGAAGGCGTCAGGAAAGGCTGGGGAAAGTCCAGTGTTGGTTCTCACTTCACGTCATGATCTTCGTTATGAGACATGTGGGGATACATAGGCGCGTTTCGTTCAGCAGGGGCACCAGGAGCGAATTACAACTTGCACAAAAGAACAACCTTTCCAAGAACATACATGCCTGGGAGCGGGGGTCGTATGTCGGACCTGGAGGGGGGTGGCAGGAACATCCATTGGCGAGGGGGCCGTGGACCTAAAAATCCGACATTGATTTTTCATTTTTCATCTATCAATACGGGTGCCCCAGAAGACTCGACGAACTCCCGGGGACGTGCTTTTCATCCCGAGTAGCTTTATGACAGACCCGGGGCCTGGCGAAGGCCTCGAGAGGCCGAAAGCTTTTGTCCATGCGTCAGAGGTCTGGGGGTGGGGAGAGGTGGGCGACGGGGGCAAGGAGGGCGGGCGCACGCGACGACTCAAGCATCAGGCTCCAAGATGCAAGGAGGCAGTGAGGGACTGCAGCACAGGCATGCACATGGCTTACACGAAGGTCACGATGAGGTTGCAGCAGCAGTGGAGAGGGGGAGTGTGGAGGACGGGGGGATGTTAGAGGGAGGGGGAGCATGGAGGGAGTGGAGGGAGGGGGGAGGGGGGACGAGGGGGAGAAGAGGCCAGGGTGGAGGTGGAGGAGGGTGGAGGGACGGCGGAGGCAGGGGGGGGAGGGCGAGTCGCGACGGGGGGGGGAGGCAGGGGGTAGAGGCGAGGCCCCCGGTCCGCGGTCAGGAACTTCTTGATCTCCAGGTCGTCTATCTTCTCGATGCCCCTCGCCGGGTGCTGCCCGAAGAGGGCCACTGGCCCAGGGTGCCCCCGGCCTTCCTTCCGTGGAGGCCACCCACGGCCCCCCCGGAGCACCCCTCACGAGGCCCCGAGGGCCCCGGGGGCTCCAGGATGGAGCGAGCCGCGGGGGGGCACCGTGGGCCTCGGTGGCACCTCAGGAGGAGGAGGAGGAGGAGGAGGAGGAGGAGGAGGAGGAGGAGGAGGAGGAGGAGGAGGAGGAGGAGGAGGAGGAGGGGGAGGGGGAGGGGAGGGGGAGGGGGAGCCGTCCTTGCGGCCTTGATGACCAGCTCCACCGAGGCCAGGCCGAACTTTGCCAGCTGGTCGTGCAGCGGCCTCGCGCCGCGAGGCCCGGCCCGCGCGCGCGCTCCCCCTCGCCACGGGGGGCAGGGCGCGTGCACGCCAGGGCACCGCCACGGCGGCGGCTGTGCAGACCCCGAGGCCCTGGCATCCCAATGTTTTGTCTCCAGCTCGGGAAGGGACGCAGAGCGATGGGGTCGAGGGTTCTGGTCGCGAAGCTTCGGGGTGTTGCATCTTTTTCACGGCGTCGGATCTGAGGGGAGGGCGTCCGCGGAGGGCATGGGAGAACCCTTCGAGAACACCTCGCGGGAGGTCCTCGTCAGACCAGCTAAAGGATATCCAGATCGGACACCACAACATTCTGGAGAATGTGCAAGCACTTGAAGTCGCAGGGCGGGGTGCTGTCGACGTCGCAGTTGGAAACGCTCGACAAGAAACTTGGCATAACCCATGGTGAATTCGGGATCCTGAACGAGCCTCGTTTGAGAGCAGTGCAAATTCGTTAGCAGGACACGCTAGTGTCGCCCGACTGGCCCAGGGCGAGCCCTGGATCGAGTCCGATCGGGCAAGGGTTATCAGCATCGAGCGGGATGAAGCGAAATTAAGTCAGACTAGGCTGGCTAGATAGTTGGCGACACCCGAACCCTGCCCTCACCACATCGATTTTCCTGAAGCGAAGGGAGGCGAGGGCAGAGTTTGGACTTCGCAACATTTTCGACGAACTCAAACCCTACCCCCACCGCCTATGAAATTGCCTGAATCGCTGACCACCCGCCCCCGAGGTTCGACCGCGGATATAGCAGCGTCGAGGTTGAATTCCACCTACCAGGAACTGCGTCCGAATCGTGGTACAGTCGGGGGTGATTGGAAATGACACGCGACAGGACACAATAGAGGCCTCCAAGATGGGGTCGGAGTAGATGGGGTCGGATGATCGCGCCACATCGCCGATACATCGGCGATGCATCGGCAATGCATTGGCGATACATCGGCGATGCACAGGCGACGCATCGTCGACGTCGGCGATGCATCGGCGACGTTGACGTGAAGCTATTCGGGCTGCATATCGAGCCGCATCGGCGATGCATCGGCGGTGCGGCGCGACCCTCCGACCCCATCTAGGAAGCCTAGACACAAGACCCTTCTGCGGGCCAAATTGCCACAGGAATGTAAGAAGGTATGGGTCGCGAAACCCAGGACACAAGGGTACCCTCGATTCGGCAGGATCGACCTACTTGTCAACCTCGACTGTATGGAGGACGCGGATCATGAGAGAAGACAAGTGCTGGGCTCGAACCGCCGCGGCTAGAGACTCGACGTCTCTGGGCACGGCTCAGGGCCACGCGTTGTGAGTGATACCTGGTACGGTAGCAAGAGGAGCGACGCGAATGGCATTGGAAGGGAAATACTCATCGGTCGAAATGAGTAGGTAGAACCATGAAGTAGGAAGGCATTGGAAGTAGATTGGGTTTTTCGCCCGTCTCCTGAAGAGGAGGGAGGAAAGAAAACCACTCGACTCTGAAGCAGGAAGACGGCTGAAGTAGATTTAGAACTGGGAATCCAAAAATACCTACTTTCAACGACCGATTGGTACCGTACCCCCACGGCTTTGCTCGGCAACCACGTGTGAACCCTACCCCAGCGCGCCACAGTTGTCAAAAAATGACAAGGGTTCAGAATTTGAAGGGTGCCTGTAGCCACATGGACCCCAGCGTGTGCGTCTGATACCCAAGCGTCGATTGGACCCGCACGGGTAGGTTTCGCAAGTGGTCGCATGGTCATTGCATAGCCTTGGGTCGGGCATGTCCTCCTACAGGCGGATTCTGAAAGAACAGTGGCACACAATACACAAATGCTATGCGAAGGTCAACATATCAAAATCAGACACATCGTCCCCATACTAGTGTTTGACTATGTTTTAATACTCTCCTCTAGAGGGACATGCCCGACATCACCATAGCCATCGTACTTGCGAATATGAGTGGAGGCGGAGGTGTCCGCACTCTCTGCGGGGCTATAGTGCAATGCATCCGAAGAGGAGCCCACCACAGAGGCACTCGACCCTCGAACACGTTTTCACCTCGAGACCGCCGCAGGCGGCAATTTTTTGGGCGGAGGTATTGTCGGTGGATCGCGGGTGGATCGCGGATGGTAGGGGGAAAACAAACCTACCTCGCTTTTGACCACCCTCGCTTCCAAGAGATACCAAACGATGCCAACTTGCAGCCTGTACTGGTCAGGCCGCTTGGCGAGGAGGCGCGTGGTATGGCTTGGTTTGGCCTGGAAGCGAAAGCGGGGTAGGTAATTCACGCTCTGAGGTGGGTCGTGAAGGTGGTCGCGGGCAAGTCGCGGGCAACTCGCGGGTGGGTCGCGGGCGGGTCGCGTCTGGGCCGCGGGGCGGGCCGCTGGGCGGGTCGTGGGCGACGACGACAACGAGGAAGAGCAGATTGGCAACACCAACAATACACACGACAGGACCTCACTAGGGTTACACCCTGCGAAATGCTTAAGAAATCATGGGTTCAGAAACTCATAGTCTCAGAACTTGAATAAACACCCAAAATTTCCATTAAAATCTTAGGATTTACATTGAAACATTAAGAATCATCGAGACTCTGGCCGAAAACTTAAGTTTTCTTAAGCATCGCCTAAGGTGTACGTACCCAGGAACTGTGTGAGACCGTTCGGCCCCTCTCACTCTGCTTACTGGCTCACCCTTGCGTCGACTCGTTTCCTAGAGCTTCGAGCACTACAGCAGTTGTTCACCGAAGTGGGGCCTTGGCCATGAAGTTTTTACTGCCCGTGGCAGTGGTGCTGGTGGCCGCTGGGGG